GTTGTTTGTAATGAAAGAGTCTTGTATGTCTTATTTAAATTTGATTTCTTAATTAGGTCTTTGAAGAGGAACGTACAGTAAGTAACAAGAAATATATTTTTTGATAGTATTATACAAAACATAAGGAAAAAAATTCTAAGAAGTCTTAAATACAATTTTACAGTTATATTTTTGGGTTGAAGTATACAAAACACATCCATTATATAGTATTCTGATTTTCTAAGATTAAGCTTATAACTTAAGTTTTTAGTTGGATTTAAGTGAGGAAGGATAACAAAATTTTGGTTCAACTTTTTTACACTCAATATCACATTTTTAGGTTTACATACAACTGTGACATTATTTAAAATAATTTTCAATTTCCCTTCTTTGTAAATGTTTTCAGAGTGCAATAAGCAATTAATTACAGTAACATTATAGTTAACCAAATCAAGCGATGAATACTTTAGTTGACATGACTTGTAGTTAATTAAGAAACATACCAATAAGTAGTTGCGATGCAAAACAGTAAAGGAACATAGTGTACAAAATAAAGTTGGAACCCTGTTATTATTAGTTAGATCGGTTAATGGCGTCTTATATCTTGTTACAAAATGTGTACCATAAAATGATATAACGTTAATGTTATCACAAAGATAATGTAAGTATAATAATGTTATAACATGTGGCAAAATTGTTGGGCGTATAATACACACATAATACACCTTTGATAAATTAAAAATGAGTACCATGTCGCCACTGTCCTTCGTATCTAGAATGAAAATAAATAAATAACATGACAAACTTAATGCATTTATCTGGGAAGAGAATAAGTACAGTACTCTATTTGGGGCCAACTGTGGAATTGCCAAAAACCCTCTCAATATCTTCTTGGTTGCGAATTCTGATAGCCGTCTGTGTAAAATCACGCCTTACAAAAATGTTACCGTTCTTTGTCCAGGTAAATTTCCACATTAGTCTACGTGATTCTTCACGTGCCTTATAAAACAGTTGTTTATTCAAACGCGACAGCCGTTCGTTGATATAGACGCGGCGCGGGGCGGCGGCCGTCGCGACGCCGGAGGAGTCGAGACCGCGCCGCACACGCGCAGCGCGCAGTAACTCGTCGCGGGTGCCGCGACGGACCAGCCGGATGACAAGGGCGCGCGGCCGCGCCACTGTTGTGTCACCTTCCTTTCTTTCAGCCAAGATTTTCCGACCCACACGCTCGGCACTTACTATATCATGTTCACTCAGGGAAACACCTAGTTTTTTGGCTAAGAGAGACGCCAGGTGAATGGGGCTTTCATTAGTCTCCTCTGGTAAACCAGTAACTTCCAAATCGTTTAGTATGCATTCCTGTTCATATTGATTTATTTTTGTTTGAAGATTCGCAATAACTACCGAGTCTTCTCGGTCAATAGCAGTATCGAGCCGTTTCTCGACGAGCGCCATTCGCTCCTCGACATTATTTAATCGCCCGTTGAAACTTTCCAACGCTGAAGTCAGCTTCTCCATTTCTCTGCACATATTATTAGTAGCAGTCACGAACTGCTCCGTGACATGCTGCTGAACAAACACTTTTAGCATCTCTGCCATTTCATTTTTCAATATATCCCGCAAAGAACGCTCAGTGACATATTCTAGATTTCCGCCGTGATGCGCACACGCTGTCGTATTTTTACGTATAGTGATATTGTCGTCCGGACCCCCTGGTGATAAGATAACACTATCCGACGGACTCAGGGCAGAAGGACGCAGCAGAATATTGGTATTGTCGGACTTTGCAATGTTGGTGGTAGGACAGTCGCACTTAGCTTTTACGTTCTTGCACCCGACGCACACACGTTGATTTTTGGAAGACATTGCGAACTGTTTACACTTCGTTTAAATCGATTCAACAATTTGTATGTAAACACATCACTAGTTATTAAACGCTAAGAGTTATAACAACAAAGGTCGGTAGTTACGAAAAATTGTCTAGAGTGTAAACATAACAAATAACGCGTTATACTTTAATTCATAATTCATTTACACGTTAAATGAATTGAAGATCACAAATACATGTACTAACACTTAATTACGCACGATAACTTTTTGTTAGTCACTATTCACAACATTTATTAATAAAAATCTTGGGAGAAGTTTAAAACGATGTTGACGTCACCGAGTGTACGACGCGACCTCCTCGTATCGTAATATAAATTACTCGTTGTTTTGCTACTTTTTCTAATATCTATAATTCTTTAAAAATACATGTATCACTCTCTAATTTAATTTAAGAAGAATGTTATAATATAATCGTCGATATAAATAAATAAAAAACCAATCAACCTCCTCAACCCTGCACATATGTTCTAGAATACCTTGTTATTCTACAATAAGCGGAAGTGAACTAATCAGACTAAATGTCCACTATACCAGGCCGGTATTCGTTGGGCGCAGATTCTTAATTCAAGATCTCAATTGAAGAATTATTTAAGCCGCCTTGCTCCACAAGGTTATATCTATAATGTACTATAAATTACTACAAGAAGATGAACGAAATTGAAGAATAACATTCTTTAGAGCTAGTATGCATCCTTTATACTACAACCTTGTTCGTATTATCTGCAGAATATTTACCGAGTGGTCGACCTCAGCCCACTCCGGCGATCCTTTCGACAAACGACCATCCGAATGAGGACGAATTACGATAAGGTCACGACATGGATTACAAATCAAAGAGTCCTTTTAGGGACATTACATTCGTTGAAATCTGATGCATATAACCATAAAATCACGATAAACCTTGCTTTTTGGAATTCTTTTAGGACTTAGCAGTAAATGAAGTCATAATAGCTTGCAGAAGCCAAAATCTATGAGGTTCGAAAGTAAACTGCTGAGCAAAATTAATCAAATCGTAAATTAAAATATTTTCATCATGTGTAAACACGCGACGATCACATGTGTGAACAAAGAAAATGCTAAAATCAACGTGTGGGAGTGAGTGACGTCATTAACCTCAATATTTTACTCTTTATGCATACAAATCGCTGGCTTAAATGAAAGGTCGATAATTTTAAAAGTCCATTGTTCCCTTAGTGTTTTATACGATAAAGATACCAACACATAAAATAAATAAAGGAAACAAGCAGAATATTCACCAGGAGGGTCATGTCCACAATATTGCCACCATCACCTGCCCAATCTTAAAACACTATATTTGTGTGATGTATTTATTGTGCCAAAATAATTAATTACAATTAATTGCAAGTAATTTGTATAATTACTAGTTATATTTTCTGTAAACATAACAGTAAATTAAACATAACAAAACAAATTAAATTGTTTCCCACTTCCAAAAACAACTGAACTCAGTAACATCAATAATTACGAGTAATTAAATGTTTAAACGTACGTAACGTACGTACGAAATAATGTTCGCGTTACCGATAAACAGTAGCCCTTTAACCCAGTTTATGCTAATTGACTACGAGCGGTCAATATTACAATAAAAGGAGGATATACACGGACTGCTACAAGAGATTTATCGAGAGCTTCAAACGGTTGATGATCATCAGTTTACGTTTCCCATACACGAACTGCAAATTACAGATGCTACTCAAAATGCCTTTGATGGTTGGTCGATTACTTGAAGCTGTTGAACTGCTTAGAGTAACTTCAAATGTATAATTCAGCTATTTTTTTGTACGTTCGTAGCGTGTATAATGATAAACTGTAGGTCACACTCGAGTCGATTGCAGAAAACAAGGAATTGCACGGAAGTGATCGGAAGTTATCTACTGTCAAGGATGTGATAAGGATGTGTTTGCTCTGCGCAATTAAATTACTTCCCTATTGAGGTATTTTTTCTATAAATTACTTGTGTAGATAACTTCTGTTTACATCAATATTTTTGTATACCTAGACATAAAATCTCTGTATAAATATTGTTCGCCATGCATGAAGTGATAAAGATAAAAGAATGCTTGAAGCAGAAAGGTACATTTATTAAAACAAGAGTCCCTTTGATTTGCACATTCATGAGGAGGTCCTATTGAAAGTTGAGTAGAGACGCGACAGTACTGCCGCCACGTTGCGCCTGTCTCGCCTCAAGTGCGGGAAAACACCCAGAAACATACGAAGCATAATAGTTTGCATTTTAGTTCCCCCATCGTAGCACTAAGCACTACTATATGTAATTGCATATACTACACTCTACTACGATGATTATTGCATTCTGCAACGGTCACCCATAACTTACTTGTCTGTATTCGATTTTCTTAAAGCGTTACCAACCGCCACAAGCCGACTACCTGAAGAAATGGTTGTAGTGGTTTAAGTGTTCCCCTTAAAATTCCAATTTCTATACACTTAGTATCATCTTTAGTATTATCTGCAAGCAGTTGATTTAGATTCACTTCACCACCAATTAGCAAAATAATAATAGACCTTTAACTGCTTTCTTCTTATTGCACATCCTTCAGTAAATCTTCAAAACAATGGCCTTTATGTGTTTCGGCATTGGCTAAGAATATTGGCAATTGTATGTTTTTTTGAAGCGCTCGCGACGTTTGTTTCGCTTATCCGCTATTTTCGTTGTCGGTGGTCGGCGGCAGCTGACAGTGGCAAAGCGGACGCGACCGCGAACGTACGCTCAGCGCATCGCACCCGCACTGCGTACATACCGCTGCACTATTCACTTACCGCAATTTAGTGACATTCGCGCTGTTTACAATTCATAAATAAATAAACTGTGAAAGCAAAAACGTGTGAACGTAAGTGCATTTTAATAAAATATTTTTATTGTTTCATGTAGGTCGGATACACAAATATTATTGTACATCACGCCAAATTTTATTTCTGGCGCCAGATCTTTGACATTACCTTTAATATAAACTGTAAAATGTAGTAATAAAGAAACATACAATGTCTATTTCTCTTGATTACAAAGTAATTTAAATTTATTTTTAATAATAAAATAGTTTCAAGTTTATACGTGGGTAGTATAGAAAAACATACAAAATAAACTTCGATGGAAAGAAACAAAAGGCATTGTTTGGCTCGCACGATTTGTGCATTATATGCATATTGTAATTAGCATTTGACATCCGCTGAGTCATTACTATCGCGTATTTAAATTGCACACTGCGATTAAATACTAACAATTGCTCGGACAAATTCAGTTCAATACAACGATCAATTGACAACCCGGTTAACTTTGATTTAGCTTATTGCTGTTCACTTGCAGCCAATTTTATCGTCTCAGTAACACGTGTCGTGTTATTATATTTTTATTTAATCTACTATCATTTAATTATAATATTATCTTGTAACGAGATTGTCACACCTACCTCAGATAAGTAAACATACAAATGTAAATATATTTTGTTTACTTCAAGTGTTTATCATGATATGCAAAGTCAACTGGCATAATTATATTATTTTAACAGCGATATTTGATGCGTCGGAGAATGCGATCGTTGTTACCATTAACCTCTTATCGTCCATACGATAGTCGTATGTTTACTGATTTGACTTGTGTTTCACATAGAAAGATCGAGAATTTCTTTTGATGTAATATTCCAAGATATCTTTTATTTTAACTGTTTCACTTATAGTTCTTTAGTGGTTCTTTTAGCAATACTTTAATGTAGTTTTCTTATCACTAAGGGTGGACCGTGGGCCCTGTTTATAATTTTTTTGTATTTAATAAAAATTCATTAATAAGAAACAATTGAATATATTTTGTCTTTATTGGTTCACAAAAGGTTGATAGCACAAGTCGTAATGTAAACTTCTTTGACATTCTCATCTCGATAAAATGAAGAACAAAACAAGACACATAAAGACACTGAATAAATTTGCCAAAGTTGCCGCGATACCACTTTGTTTGCATTAAACATAAGAGATGAAACGAGGTAAATATTAGTCTAATACAAATTCATCATATTCTGACATTATTACTTGAGCAAGGATGAGTCGGTACGTATGGCTATTCCATTGTAAATCTCCTTCTACAAGCTGAAGATTTCCTACTATCCGTAGAATAACTTTGACTCGGGTACCTACAAACAACGTGACAACGACATAAATTAGTCAAACCGTTGGAATGGAACTTAAATCATAGATGTTGTTTAGTTTTTAACACAGTCTCAAGATTTTAAAAAGTTTTTTTTAAAAGCGAGTCTAAGAAATTTGAATAAGCAAGAAATTAATAAAATTGCTAATAAATTGATATAAACGTCAAAAAACATGTCGAACTCATTGCCCTTTTCTATCAACGTAATATCGCATGTTATTCTTGTACCCGGCACACGACAGATAACCTTTTTTTATTATTTAACTTTGATACGAAAAATTTCCAGAAAGTAATTTATTTAACTCGAAACATTTATATCAGACTGAAATAAAAACTTCGTTTTAACACTGACCGATATACAGAGGTCAATTGAGATCTGAAATCGATTTTCGATTTCAAAATAACAATTGTTTCGCGATACAAATGCATTCGTTCTCGCATTGTTTAAACGCACTGATAAAATACGGTGATATGATGAAAATACTTTTCGGGGTTACTTAAAATTATGCTTTGTGTTGGATATTGAGCGAAATTTCGAACTGCCACAAAGTTTGAATGGTACTATACATTTCCATCCTGGAATAAGCCACTCATGCCATTTAATATTTGAATATAATTACTAAAATTCATGCTGAAACTTTCAATCGTGCGGAATAAAGTATCTTCATGTCATAAATATCTGCCTAGATTTTTATATCGACATGTAACGGATGCCTGTGGATAAGGTAAGATCTTTTGAGAGTGATAAAACGTTTATTGAGAACGGTATCGCTGTTCAACAAATCATTCGGACTACGAAACCTTGTTATCTGCGTTATCGATATGTTTCAACATTGATCGATCTACCGGACTCTTGTCACGTCTGATAACTTCAGAATCTGCCTAGAAACAGCAGCTACAGGGACTGGGTTTTGTAATGTATTTGTACATCACAGAACAATTTGATAAGCGGGACAATAACCTGAAGTTTGACAGCCCTATCATATCCACTGCTAAAAGAAGTTTTAAAACACGTCTTATCTTTTTTTTAAAATGACACGTTTCATCTTGTTGTATAACAAGAGTCAAACTTTATTGCTGCTTGTGGTTAGCTGCGAGCTCAGCTGACACTCCCTACTGCGGGTCATAGAAATCCCGCACATCGCCTTTGTTGCGCACTGTTTCTGCACGAAATTAAGAGCTGCCATAAACTTTGGATGGCATTCTATTTGCTTCTGTGTAATTAAACGGTATAATAAAATGGTTTTGAGTACTACCGTAAATTACAAACAATGGATAAATTTCAAGTATTGTTAATCTTCATTGAGAAAATTAATATAACGATTTTCATGAACGCGGTAATTACACTAAGGCATTCCGAAAATTTATTCCGCTAATAACTCGGGGGCAAAATCGTAAAATGTCGCATATTCATTAGATAGAATCAAACTAATGTTTGCTGAATTTGATGAAAGTGTTTTTGTTTTGTTGTGTGTGATTTGTTTAGTTTACTTCAAGTTGTTTAAATAATCACAAGGACAATAAACATTTACTATAAAATGAACTGTAATATAAAAAGACCATAGTATTGAGATATTAAGAAACATTTTCTCCTTACAGATTTGCGCCGGAGCTGTACGTAGAAATGAGAGTCCATCGAAAACTGGAACAGACAAGAAGAAAAGTCATAAGCCTCAGATGAGGAAAGAGAATGAGCGCGAAGAGATGAGAAAATAAAAGACATTCGGTCTCCTTATCTTATGAAACTGTCCCTTCCAAGAACTACAGCGCTTCCTCTTTATCATAGAAAAAATAATCAGTACAAATTTCAAAACCCAAGTGCCTCTATTTCAGTACAGATTTTATAAATAGTATTTTAATATCTAGAGTATCGACAGTGAATATTGTTATCTTATCGACATATAAGCAAATGTATGTAAAATATATGTTGAACAATACAAGGATATACACTATGTTGAGGAGATAAACTCTGAAAATAAATCATATAACTGTCGGATTGAGTTACTAAGGTGGGAAGTTATCGGAGATTTTTGAGAACGAGTTAATAACTGGTATTCGAAGATGTCTCACGGCGCGGTGAAGAGCTCAAGGAATGGCAATGGCGTGCAGTCGGCGCAGGGAGGACAAGCAGAGCAGGGTGAGAGCTCCCGTGAGGGCTCCCAAAGCCTGCCGCCGCCACCTGACGGAGGCTGGGGATGGGTCGTCGTCTTCGCTTCCTTCATGATTCATATCATCAGTGAGTACTTACTGCTTTTTCATAAGTACTTTTTCTATTCCATAAATAAATGTGCTGTTTGTCACATGTCTAAATTTTTATGTTGTTACTGTATTTTCATCAAAAAGCTTTTTTTTATTCACCATATTTTCAATCAGAACGTGTTAGTAATGTCTTTAGAAGTTAGTAAACACGTTGAAAGCGATATCGGTGCATAGTAAGGTTGCATAGCTTAGATTATATTTTATGGAACGAGGTGACTCCCACACTAATAGCATATTAATAGCTATCTTGACGCACTTCGCCGGTTAACTGTTAACTCAGCCAAGATAGGTCCTATGTACTTTATGTATTCATACTTAATAGCCTTATTTACATTTACTATGATTGCTATATTACATTAATTAGATTAATAATCATGCAGAATCCTAAGACAATCTAAGATAAAAAAAAATAAAAAAAACTAGGAATTGCCCCGAATTTTTAACGATTAGACCACCGTAGATTAATTGTCTATTTCTCTAATATGTAATCATTCACGATACTCCTTTCACACCTATTTCTTGTCGAATCAGTTCATTTTACTCATCAATAAAAAATGGAATTACGACACTAATTTGAGGACGATTTAAGAAACAAAACCAGAATCAGCCAAAAAAATTAAATAATTTTACAACACTTATTGAGGTATAATATGAAAAATATTACAAATTCACAAGAAGTGTTTTGTATTTCAATTTATATCTGCAACAAGATATAAGTACGAAAGAAAGTAAACACCTCTTAATCATTCTGAATTTATAGTATTTAATTAAGATAAAACTTTGTATGTTTATAGTTTTATTTGAGCATATAATTAAATCTCGCTGTTTACCTATGAAATCAGAATATCTATATTTTCGCTTCGTTAATTATAATCATAACAAATATCATTTCAGTCAAACAAAATTATATTATTAAACAATATACTTAAATCGGTAATTGAACTTTCTATTGTTTTATAATCCATTTCCAAAATATTTTTTCTCCAATTTTTAATTTATTATTTGTCTAATGGCCAGATATAACAAAAAATAAAAACAGACGAATTGAGTACCTCTTTCTTTTGGGAAGTCGGTCAAAATACTTACCATCATCAACTTCCTCCTTATCCTACTCCCGTAGGGTCGGTGCAACAGGTTTTTGTCCTCCACATAGCTCATTCAATACAAATACTGTTTCTTTTTTTTAAAGTTTAGTGTTATTACGTTTCTTGTTAATTGGCCATTCTAGTACAGTATGATGTTATATTACATTACGTAAGCTAATCCGCTTGAATCTGCTAATAGCCAGTTATGTCAAGTTTGTATCAAACAGAATAATAAACCGGCACAGCTTGACAGATTATAGTCATGTAGTAAAATGTCACTGCACTGTGACATCCATTCGTCTTGATAAGGGAAAAATACGTTACTTGTTTGTCCGCTAAAAAATCAAAAAGTACTTAACCAATTCAATGAGTACTCGTATGTAAATCAATAGAAAGTTATTCCCGGAGATATTTGAAGATTACTTAAATAACCGCTGATACAAACATTATAAAGGACACATCATCCATCTTACAAATGTCTTGTAAAAAATGTTAACATTATCAAAATATCCACTAATAAAGTTACAAGAAAACTCTTCTATAGATATTATACAGGATCTGTTAATTTCTACAGATCAATAAGTGTCTAGGGAGGATCCATTAATTACGCTAAAATATGTTAGCCAGTAAATATCGTTGAATAATTCTACAGAGCATTGTAAGCAAAATTAATTTTGACAATATCTCAACATTCAACAATAACTTGACAGATTTCGGTGAACATTAGCGAGCGTTCGCACGGACGCGAAAACGCTAGGCGGTAACTATGTGTCAAAATAGAACGTATGGGATTGTATGAAGCTGTTCATACGGGGGCGTTTTTCTTCTCGGCGTATTTCTCTACGCGCACTGTTCCATTTTGGACACTAGGCGTTAGCGTAAAAATAAAATGGAACGTATGGAACTTCATACAAGTGTTCGCACGGGCGTAGTGGAAATCGCGCGGTACGCTACACTACTTTCCAAAATTACTTGGACCATCCAATAATAAACATTTAAAAAAGTCTGATTATGTTGAACTGTTGCCTTTATAAAATGATTTTTTTTTGGGAATGTAGTCAAAATGTAGATGGTCAAATATTTTTGGAGCCTAGTGTAATTGTTTTAACGCTCACCGCGCTGTCAGCCGTTCGCACGGACGTGAAAACGCTAGGCGATAAATAATGTGTCAAAATAGAACGTATGGGACTCTATGAAGCCGTTCATACGGGGGCGTTTTTTGACTTGGCGTATCTTGGTACGCCGCGATAAATTTTATTGTTCCATTTTAATAAAAGTACGTCGCGTTTGGCTGTCGAACATGTTTGATTTGTGTTTACATAGATCAAAACAAGTTTGCGATCACTAGCTATAAAAGTTAATCTGTTTTGTAACATATCTTTTTACATAAAAAAAATGTATGTTATGTCTTATAGGAAATTAAACCACATTTTTTATAAAGTAAAGGAAT